TGATGTGTGGGGATGCCTTACAAGGCATTCCCTGCCCCTCCAAGGCAACAAACAAGTGTTTGGTGCTAAACCAGACACTAAACAATCGAGTTCGGAGATCCTGAGGCAAGGCGCGTAGCCGAGACCTCCGGGAACTCCAAACGAACACAAACATGGATGATCACCGGGTGTTCAAACGGTGACGTCCAAGTCTTGAGGACGGTCAAAAATGGGGTGTTTACAGGTAGTAACTCATCTTAAACATTTCCCATTTCACAATAGATAAGCATACTAGCTATATCAACACTTCGATAGATAAGCATATAAGCTATATCAACATTTTAACAGATAAGCGTATGAGCTGTATCCATACTTCAACAGATAAGCATATGAGCTCTATCAACACATTAACTGACAAGCATATGAGTTGTATCAACGGAGTCCATCCCCTATCTCCTCCCAAACCACATCGGGTTTAGAGGTCCATCCCCTATCTTCCCGTAAACCATGGAGTACATCCTATATCTCCTCCCACACAACACAATGCATATAAACAGTTATCATATACATCATCAATCAATACATAAAGTTAATGTATTCTTTCAACCGTCATATTCGATGACACATTTCATTGATTAGTTTTAGTTTGCCTAATCATCATGCATTGTCTACAACAATCAAGACTACCCTTCACCGGTAGCACCAACAGATAAAATATCAGCATTTTCAAAAGTGAACGATTTATTAATCCGACTCCACTCTTCCATCTCATAATGAACCACTATCATTATATTCAACTCAATTTCACAAATCCATAACTTTCCCAAATTAATTATACCAATTAATTTATATACAATTTAGGGCTTCCTTCCCCATCTCTTAATATTATCCCAAAGGTTCAAATATGAACTATCAACAACAATAACATCATTTTGAAACCCAAAATACATATTTAAGAATCAAAATAACAAAACCCTCTTTTACATCTTTTGAAACCCTAAGTCCCAAAATCAACCGTTTAAACAACTAGCTCAAAATCTAGGTCAAAACCTATAAGAGTGAGTAGGAATCCATACCTCAAATTCGGAGTCCAAGGGAAGAAGATGAAGAAATTGAAGATGCTCCAAATCTCAAAATTTTTGGATCAAAAGATAGCCCTCGACGATCAACACAACTTTTACAATGGCCCAAGGTGAGGAAATCACTCCTACTAGATCAATACCTAGAGAGAAGTTGAGGTTCTAGTGAGAGAAGGTCTCCAATGGTGTTTTTGAAAAGTAAGAGAGAGAAATGGAGTTGAAAAAGTGATCCAAAAAGTCGGGTCTCGGCGTGATATATTCGACTCCCCGCTCGAGCGTGGAAACTCCTGCTCGAGCGTCACTCACAGACTCCCGCTCGAGCGTCCAAACCGCCGCTCGAGCGCCGGATACACACTCCCAGAACTTTTGCAGAATTGGGTCCCCGCTCGAGCGTCAAACTCCCCGCTCGAGCGTCAAAACTCCTGCTCGAGCGTCCAACACTGCAGAGGAAATACTGGGAGATGGATTTTCCCGCTCGAGCGCCAAAACCCCCGCTCGAGCGGAGAAGCACAACAAAGGCCCGCTTGAGCGTCAAAAACTCCGTTCGAGCGTGAAGGCTAATTTCTGGGCAACTACTTTTGGTTTCTAAGCTCAACCAACCTGTTCCAAACCTGCCTAACACAACCCAAGACTCAAATACAAAGAGTAAAGGATGTAAACAAGATATACACAACAACCAACTCCACGGAACCTAAGTCCGGATACAACAATTAAAGAAAGGGAAACCGGGATCGCTATACTAATGCACCATTAACCTCTGCAATAAAGGCATGAGTTACTAACCCCATTAATGCACTATTAAACTCTGCAATAAAGGCAGAAGTTACAAACCCCATTAACTCTTTCATGAAGGTAACTTCATGAAGCAATTTCTCATTCAATTCTCAATGGTTTTTGGTCATTTTATTTGTGGTGTAAAGATCTCATTACAAAGTATCTAGACCCATTTGGACCCAACACAATAGACGGTTGGGACCCACTTTAATATTTAATTAAAGTCACCAAAAAATCATTTTTTCCAACAAACATTGGCCTTGTTTGGGAAATTGACTATTTTAGTTGGTTTTTTTGGCTATTTTAGCCTAACTAAAAAAGTTGTGTTTAAAAAATTAGTTTTGTTTTTGGTAATTGATTTGATGATTGTGAGAGAAAAATTAAAACGATTATGAATTGGATATGACATTTTGTCTTATTAACTATTTTAATTTATTTTGAAAAGTGACTTTTTATGGATTTATTGGCTTTTTTTGAAAGAAAAGTACAAAAAAAATAGAAAAGTGATAATCAAAATAAGTCAAGTTGGGTTTTTTTTGCCTTCTTTTACTGGGTTATTTTATCCCAACCTTCTTTCCAAACAAGATTATTATTTTTTCATTTATACAATTAACAAATTTTTAATAAAAAGAATGCTAAATATTACATGAATTAAAATCTTAAAAAAGTCCAATGTAATTATACATAACTTGTAAGCTTTCTATATTTTCTCTAAACTTACTTTAGGGAAGGTCATTGTAATTTACCCAGTCTTAAAATACAGTAATATCAAGACAATCTCTAAATAAGCAGTTTTTAGCCACCAAAAAAATTAAAATAGAAAAGAAACGTTTTGTTTTCTAAAAAAGCAACTTCTCCATAAAAAGAGTTTTGTTTTTTTTAATGTCAATAAAATTGTTAAAAGATAACTTTACCTTTCAAACTTTGAGAAATTACCACCAGGGTTGGTGGCCTGGTGGAGGACGTGGCCCATTCCACAGTCGAGGAATCAGGGTCGATTTCTGGGAAGGACATTTGAGATCACTCCCTGTGAGCAATGTCTTTACTCCCTTCGGTCCCTGACCTCTGCTGCGGTGTGGGGTTACCATCCATTGGTGCCCTGGTAGTGGATCCTCCACTTGGTGGGTGTTAATTCCTAGCTGGCAACCGGTTACCTCAGGGCTAAGGCCCAACGGGACTGTGATAACACCACAGAACCCTTTTTTTTGTGTTAAAAAAAAAAAAGTTTAAGAAATTCTACCGTCCACAACACTATAAGAATAATATACTAATTTTGATTATTATTTTTTCATTTATACAATTAACAAATTTTTAATAAAAAGAATGCTAAATATTACATGAATTAAAATCTTAAAAAAGTCCAATGTAATTATACATAACTTGTAAGCTTTCTATATTTTCTCTAAACTTACTTTAGGGAAGGTCATTGTAATTTACCCAGTCTTAAAATACAGTAATATCAAGACAATCTCTAAATAAGCAGTTTTTAGCCACCAAAAAAATTAAAATAGAAAAGAAACGTTTTGTTTTCTAAAAAAGCAACTTCTCCATAAAAAGAGTTTTGTTTTTTTTAATGTCAATAAAATTGTTAAAAGATAACTTTACCTTTCAATCTTTGAGAAATTACCACCAGGGTTGGTGGCCTGGTGGAGGACGTGGTCCATTCCACAGTCGAGGAATCAGGGTCGATTTCTGATAGGAACATTTGAGATCACTCCCTGTGAGCAATGTCTTTACTCCCTTCGATCCCTGGCCTCTACTGTGGTGTGGGGTTACTATCCATTGGTGTCCTGGTAGTGGGTCCTCCACTTGGTGGGGGTTAATTCCTAGCTGGCAACCGGTTATTCCAGGGCTAGGGCCCAACGGGACTGTGATGACACCACAGAGCCCTTTTTTTTGTGTTAAAAAAAAAAAACTTCAAGAAATTCTACCGTCCACAACATTATAAGAATAATATACTAATTTTGCATCAAAAAAACCTATAAACTTTTCCAAAAAAAATATACCACAAACACAATTGCTAAACCCCACCTCAATACATGATTGTAAAGCTTAGGCCTTTATGTTGTGTTTGGTTGGAAAATTTAAAAAAAAAAATTGAAAAAGGAAAAAAAAAAGATATATAAAACTACCTGAAATATAGGCATATTTTATTCACATTTCACTTATATTTTTTTATTTTTCTTTCTAAATTTTTTCTCAAATCCTCCAACTAAACAAAACATTAATGAAACATAGGAGAGACCTCTTATATTTGTTTAAGATAATGAAATGATGAGTTGTGTCAATGGTTGTTGCACATGCTAGCTCATTTTTTATAAAAGATTTAGGCCAGCTAGCTACAAAGGTTGTACATAGCATACTAGAAAAACTCCTGGATTGAGACATCAAGGGATTTAAGCCTACAATTCACCATCTTGTGTACAAAAGTCACTACAACTTTTGCAATCTTTGTGCACAAAAGTTAGACATCATATCATTTATCAAGAACTAGGGACCATATATTACAATTTCAGTATCATCGGCTCCATTGCACATATCATCTATCAACACTTCTGTCCCAATTTCCAATATATATATTAATTACATTATCGCCTTGAAACTTAAAGAAACTACAAAAAAAAATTCAGTAGGTATTACATTGACATTCTTTATAATAAAGTTAAAATAATTAAAACTAATACAAATAACTAATAGGTGTAATATATACATTTCATACAAAAGAAATAATTATTATTTTTTTATTTATACGACTAAAAAAGAGACAAATATTATATAAATTAAAATCTTCATAAAATCTAATGTAATTATATAAAATTTGTAAAATTAGATATATTTTCAACCAACAACATCAAGAGATGTTAATGTAATTAATTCCAAAAATATATATCATCAATCAAGAACCCTTTATTAGGAATTTTGTCTCCAAATCTCTGTCTATCTTTATATGTTCTAACAAATTTTTAATTGTATAATATTACGAAAATCTCAATGATCAACCAAAGATATATAAGAACAAAATAATTTGAAAACAAGAAGTAAGATGCAAGCTCTAAACTCTATATTCACAATGGCTAAAAAAAATCTCATCATTCACTAATATGACAGGATCTATATGACATGATCAACTAACATGGAGTCCCAAATTATAAATAAACATTACAAAAATTACAAATTCACAAATTATAAATAGACTGCACAAAAAAATTATAAATTCAGGACAGCCCACAATTTCTATAAGCAAATTACAATCAAGGACTGAATGTTCTTTTCTTTTCTTTTTTTTTCCTTGGACAAACATGACTTTAGACAGAACTGGACCACCTCAAAAGATCTGTATGTTACAACTTAGAACAAAGATTCAAGATGGCTATTCTTGGTGGGCACACAATTTAGATTCATGTATCTTTCTTTGAAGTCTCATTTGGACCCATCTCAAGTGTCTTTTTTGCATCAACATTGAACTTCAAAGAACCAAAACAATTCACATTAATTTGAACTTGACAAACAACACCCTTAAAAATTGTACCCAAAAACTAGTTCAAACATACAAAAAACAAAGAGAGAGAGAGAGAGACTAGAATGGAGCTAATTAACCTCTCACAGTCAACAATGAAGGAATGGCATTGAGGTTTGGAGTGGTGGTTTTGTTGGAAATCTCTCTCTTCCCTGAAAACGAAGAAGGCTTGAAAGCTCTAATTGGACTTGCAAATGCCCAACCCCAACTCTTACTTCTTCCATGAGCCACCGCCGCCGCCGGTGTCGCCGCCGCCGCCGTCGACTTCCCATTTTCTTCAGTTGAAGATGAAACCCAGTAAGAAGATGAAGAGGATGAGGAAGTGATCATGAACCCACTAAAAATCCCACCACACTTGACTCTCTCCTTGATGCATTCCCGTCCTTCGCCGCCGCGGCGGTGGCCTTCTCTCTGAGACTCGACTCGCCGGAGAGTGCAGTCTCCGAACCCAGTAGAGATTCGCTCGAAAAAGTCCCCGGAAAAGCTCTTGCTTCCGCACCCGACGGATCTAGATCTGGAAACTCTCCGGCCAAACGCCGCCGGATTCGGACTCTCACTCTCATCCACCACCACCGTCGCCGCCGCAAACTCCTCCCTCTTCTTCGATCTCTGTGACAACGAACCCACCGACGAGGAATCACTTCTCCGAACACTAGATTGCTTCGAGAGGTAAAAAAACGACCAGAACCCTCTCTTCCGGGGACTATTCTCGTCTGGGTCGTCCATGAAATGGCCCCTCTGCCGTGGGGTGGTGGTGGATTTGCTTCGCTTGAACAAAACACCACCTGGGTCAGAACCGGCGGCGGCGAGGTCGGCTTTTTTCTTTTTTTGGGTGAGGAAAAAGGGGATTCGGGTCCGCTTGGATTGGTAGTGATGATAGTGACAACCATTGTTGTTGGTATTGGTGTTTGGGTTGGTTGAGGCATTTTGTCGAACAGATAGAGTGCGTGAGGAAGTGATGGTGGTGGTGGTGACATAGTCGGATCTGAAAGAAGGAGATGGGGAAGAGGAAGAGGAGGGGAAGAAGGGGATGGGGAAAGAGGAGGAGACGAGTTTTCCGAGCTTTTCTTGGAGGCAGAAAGCGCAGATACCACCTGGGTTGGTGGTGGTGGATTTGAATGGGTGGTTTGTGCATTGCATGGTGGATTCACCCATGTCCTCTTGGAGGACCTCCATCACCATGTTTGGTTACTCAGAAAATCTGTAAAATCAATCAATGACTAGAGTCACTTTGCTGGCTGTGTTTAGTGTTGTTGTTGTTTGTTGCGAGTGTAGTTTCATACCATTGAAGACTACTACCTCTCTCTCTCAGTGTTTGTCCTAATCGCCTTGAACAGACGAGAGGGAGAGAGAGGATGGTCGCAAATGGTTTCTCGATAAAACGCTACCTGTCATTTTAGTTTTTGCGAATTATAACTATCTCTATAATTTTGGGCCTCCAATTATTTCAGTGTTTGATTTTTTAATTATGATATATTTAATTTTAAATTTTGAATTTTATTTTAAATAAAAATAATTAAAAATATTATTACTTAATTTTAAAGACAAAGTCGTTAATTTGACAAAATATAAATTAATTTGACAAAAATAAATTTCAAAAATAAGTTTTTGAATTTTTTAAAATAATTACAAATTAATTTGACAAACATAACCAAGATAAAATTATGTAAAATTACTATCTTTTAGACATTTATTTATTTAATAAATTAATTTTTATTATGTATTTGGATGATAATCATATATTGGGTGGTTGTTACTCTTTTAATGGGTAATCAATATATTTAATATATAAAATGTTTTTAATTTTGAATTTTTTGATTACTGGATTAATTTAATAATGAAATTAAAGTTGTCGTCATATTTGAATTCTGAAAAAATAAAAACTAATTTAATGAAAATAAAAATAACCGCCCATCATCATCCAAACACATAATAAAAATTAATTTGGTAAATAAATAAATAAATAACTATTTAAAAGATTTATTAATTTTATATAATTTTATCTTTAGTGGATAGAAATAATTTTTAAAAATTCAAAAATATTTTTTTGACATTTATTTTTGTCAAATTAGATTATATTTTATTAAATTGACAATTTTGTCCTTAAAATTGAGAATTGGTATTTCAATTGTCCTTATTTGAAACAAGATTTAAATTTTAAGGTCAAATGTGTCACAATTAAAAGATTAGGGATCAAAGTGATACAAGTCCCAAACTATAAGGACTAGGAGTGTGCGCGGTGCGGTTCAGGTGGTTTGAAAATAAAATTACAAACTGAATGGCAGGTTAACGGATTAGCGGTTTGACAAATTACGGTTTAGGCGATTTTTGACAAATTGGCAGATTGAAGAATATTTTTAACTAATTATCATGCATTTGCATCATATATAACGCTAATTTGTATAATATTTTTTAAATATATAACACAAAGTAATTTTACATAATATGTTTTATATATATCATTACTAATTCATATATATAACCACTAATTTGTAATAAATTTTATATCTTAAATCTCTCTCACACTCGTTTTTACATTGATATTTCATTAGAAGTTAAAAAATATATATGTATTAACTATAGCGGAGTGGAGCGGTTCGGTTGGCAGATTATAAATTTTAAAGTTTAAACTGCGGTTAGCGGTTAGAACGGTGCGGATCGGTGCGATTTTAGCAGATTAGATGGTATTTTGCACAACTCTAATAAGGACCGTTAGTGTAATTTGTCATTTTAGTTTTTACTTATTTTTAGATATAAATGAGGTTTTTTTTTTTTTGAGAACCTAGGAAAATTATATAAGGCCCTGTTTGTTCCCGATTATAGCAGCCCAAAATGGACTATTAACAATAAAAATAATATCATGTTTGTTTTGTAAAGTGAGCTCTGCATTTGTAGTTTGGAGCGGACTACGAAAAGCCTTGGCGAGCGGATTAGGAGTCTGGGCTGAGAAATGGTATTAGAAAATAATCCTTTCAGCTTAGGGTGTTACTGGTTGTTCGATAGGACGTCCAGCCAGTCAACTAGCCAAGTGCATTTTTTTTTTTTTTTTGCTATTACATGTTGGGCAGCACATTTTGAACATTAATATTTAATTTTTTTTTTATTTTTTGTTAAGTAAAAATCACGATTTTATTTATTTTATAATTTCATATAAAAATAATTTAACAATTTCTATACTAACAACTATCATCAAAATAAATATAATTTTATTTAATTCCTTCACCATCAATCTCCTTACTGACAATCCATTCAATCTACTTATGAAAATAAACGAGACCTAAAAAACAACAATATTACATAAAGAAGAAGATCTTAAAGGGCCTTTCCAATCAAGCTACATAACAAAAAACCAAATAACAAAAAATAAATCTGTCAAATAAATAGCTACGATCCAATAAAAATATAAATGAGTTGATCTTATATGTATTTATTAATATGAATTTTATTCATTTATGAGAAAATAAAATTATATATAAAATTACTCTTTCTGAATTAATTGGTAAAAATAAATATAGGTCAATTTATTGATTTATTGATTTATTTAGATCACATCACTTTAATATTTTTTTTACACTTTTTTTTTAAAAAAAAAAGAAATTCAAAAAAATTGAATTTTTTACCTAATTCTCAAAATAAGTCTTAATCAATTATATAAAATATAGATGGAATAATTTGAACAAAATAGTATATTTCATGACTGATCTTATTAACTCACATACAGGAAACACAATGGTGCACAATCATAAAAAAGTATGCACCATATATACCTTATAATTAAAAAAAAAGTCATAACTTTAATTTTTTTAGTAATAATTAAACAAAATATATTTTATAACTAAACACAATACAAAACATAACTAAAAAACGCATGAGTCATAATTAAAATAATATAATAATTAAAGAAGAAAATTAATTATAATTAAAAAAAATAGTATAACTAGGAATATATATGATACATTATTTTTAAAAATGTGCATATTAAAATTTCCCCTTACATATATATCAAAATTGTTTTGAAAAATACTACTACATATGATTTTGTTTCATCACTCATTTTCTCACACCGAGATACGAGTTGACCTAGTTATTTTGCGTCTCAAAGTGAGAAAAAAGTGTAAGAATTTGAATTATGTATAACATTACTCAATTATTTTATATGATTCGATGGTGTGGTTAGTATCAATAAATGAAATAGATTTATATTAAAACCACATTTGAGAATTAATTTTTTTAATGACCTTTTTAAATCTTACAAAAAGACATAAAAAAATGAAAAGAATAATTTGATAATTTATAATAATTTTTCACGAAAATATTTATTTCCCCAAACATATAAATTTTCTTGAGCAAAAACTATACAATAGGTCAGGCTTAGAGTCTGCCCTTTCAATTGTATTGTGCCATGTAGTTTCTCTTATTTTGTCTTTTACATTTTAGACAAATTGATTATATGTCCTTTTATTATAAGTTAGACACACGGCCACCTATTAGGGTCGACTTATCAAATAATTTGTCCTTGTTGAGGGATAGAGAATTGGAGGAGAGGTTAAAAATTCATAATTTTTTTTAATGTTTAGAGATTATTTGCGATGATCTAAATAAGTGTACTATTTGACTTTTTATGAAATATCGATTAGGTATAGGTTAGATTTCAATTGATGTGATAGAGAGGTGATATAATTTAAATAAAGTGATGTGACTTAAATAAAATTATGACTTTATAATTTTTAAATTTTTTTAAATTATGACAAATAAGGCTTTATTGTAAGAACACCTTAATAAAATTTTATGATTCGTTAGCATTAGAAACAAAAATATCGAGTCAAACCAGTGGGAGTGAAGTAAGGTGGTAGTGGAGATAGGAGGAACTGGGGGAGAGAGTCCCCATGAGCACGTGGAAGACTGACTCAGTTTTTATAATTAAATTGATGAAGAAAGACAAACTAACAAATCGCAAAATAACCCTATAAACATTTCAATTAATTAAGGTAATAATCCTATTTTTGTTTGATTATGAAGAGGGCACTTAAGTATGAAGATCAGATTTTAAAATTGAATTTAATTTAATTACAAATATACTAACACTATTTTTGTAATAAATAAATCTCTTCTTAGTATATTTTGTTTTCCATTACAATTAGTCTCATAAAAACAAGGGTAATTTAGGAAAAATACAAGTAGTTCCATAGTTATGATATAGTTTTATTAATTTCATTTTTAATAAAATTAAGATAATCAAAACTAATCACAATAGTAAACAAGAAAAAATATACATTTCAATATAAAAAAAATATGACATTATTATATTTCATCCATATGACTAACGACTTATTAATAATAAAAAAAAAATTACCTTCAAATGTTATGTGAATTAAAACCTTAAGGAATCTTAATGTAATTATGTTCAAAATGTAAGATTTGTTGTATTTTCTCTAAATCTCAAGAGATGTCATTTTGATTTATTTTTAAAATAACTATATAAAACATATGTGAAACAATTTGAGTTAAACTGTATCTTGTATGATATAATATGTATGATTTAATTATTTTATGTACTATAGTCTTGCTAGCTGCATTAACACTTAAGGCTTCGTTTGGCTATTCCAGTTGAGACTAAAAAAAGCATAAAAGACAAAAGAGCGAATTATATTAACAGTTCTTATAGTTTGAGACTCGTGTCATTTTGATCTCTAACTTTTCAACGATCATGCTACGTAGCTCGAATGTCGCGGCTCGAAACGCGGCTCGACACCAAAACGACGTCGTTTTGGTGTCAATTTTGTTTTTGTTTTTTTTTTTCTTTTCTTTCTTCCCTGGTTTTGTAGAACGAAGAAGAAGAAGAAGAAGGGAGAAGAAGAGAAGGGAGGAGGAGGAGGAGGAGTAGGAGAGAGGGGAGGGGGCCATAAAAATCGGTTTGAGGAAGAGGGGAGGCTGGGCAGACGACGGTGGTGCTGTGACATCGGCGGGGCTGCGACGGAGGAGGAAGCAGAGGCAGCGGCGGGAGCTACGACGACAGCGGGAGCTGCGACGACGGCGGGGCGGGGAGCTGCGACGCCGACCTTCTTCCTCTCCCTCCCTTCTCTTTCTCCTCTCCCTCTCTTTCTCTCCCTCTCCCTCTCTTCCTCTCGAGCCATTTTCGAGCCTGGTAGCTTCGAGCTACCAGGCATTTTCCTTTAAAAATAGCATTCCTCAATTTCAAGGTGTAAATCGTCAATATTTAATAAAATATAAACTAATTTAGCAAAAATAAATGTCAAAAGTTTTTTAAAAAAATTTAAAAAATTATTTCTACTCATCAAAGATAAAATTATGTAAAATTGATAAA